TTATGCCTTACTATACTATGACTTTTTATGCCACACTATACTTTGACTTTATGTGCCTTACTATACTATTTCGTTTTTTTTACTTTTTATGCCTTACTATACTATGCCGTTTTTATGAATTTTTATGCCTTACTATACTATGACATTTTATGCCTTACTATACTATGATGTTCTTATGACTTTTTATGCCTTGCTATACTATGTTGTTTTTTTGACTTTTTATGCCTTACTATACTATGTCGATTTTTTTACTTTTTATGCCTTACTATAGTATGACTTTTTATGCATTACTTTACTATGTCGTTTTTTTGACTTTTTATGCCTTACTGTACTATGACATTTTTATGACTTTTTATGCCTTACTATACTATGTCTTTTTATGCCTCACTATACTATGACTTTTCATGCTTTACTATACTATGAATTTTTATTCCTTACTATACTATGACGTTTTTATGACTTCTTATGCCTTGCTATGCTATGACGTTTTTTTGACTTTTCATGTCTTTCTATACTATGACTTTTTATGCCTTACTATATTATGACATTTTTATCACTTTTTATGTCTTGCTATACTATGTCGTTTTTTTGACTTTTTATGCCTTACTATACTATGACATTTTTATGACTTTTTATGCCTTACTGTAGTATGACTTTTTATGCCTTACTGTAGTATGACTTTTTATGCCTTAATATACTATGACTTTTCATGCCTTAATAAACTAAGTCGTTTTTATGACTTTTTATGCCTTACTATACTATGTAGTTTTTTTTACTTTTAATGCCTTACTATACTATGTCTTTTTTTTTTTTACTTTTTATGNCTTTTTATGCCTTACTATACTATGACTTTTTATGACTTACTATACTATGTCATTTTATGCCTTACTATACTATGACTTTTTATGCCTTACTATACTTTGACTTTATGTGCCTTACTATACTATGTCGTTTTTATGACTTTTTATGCCTTACTATACTATGACTTTTTATGACTTACTATACAATGTCATTTTATGCCTTACTATACTATGACTTTTTATGACTTTTTATGCCTTACTATACTATGTCGTTTTTTTGACTTTTTATGACTTACTATACTATGCCGTTTTTATGACTTTTTATGCCTTACTATACTAAGTCGTTTTTATGACTTTTTATGCCTTACTATACAATGACATTTTTATGACTTTTTATGCCTTACTATACTAAGTCGTTTTTATGACTTTTTATGCCTTAATATACAATGACATTTTATGCCTTACTATACTATGACTTTTTATGCCTTACTATACTATGACTTTTTATGACTTTTTATGCCTTACTATACTAAGACTTTTTATGCCTTACTATACTATGACGTTTTAATGACTTTTTATGCCTTGCTATACTATGTCGTTTTTTTGACTTTTTATGCCTTAATATACTATGACTTTTTATGCCTTTTTTATACTATGTCGTTTTTTTGACTTTTTATGCCTTACTATACTATGACATTTTTATGACTTTTTATGCCTTACTGTAGTATGACTTTTTATGCCTTAATATACCAAGTCGTTTTTATGACTTTTTATGCCTCATTATAGTATGACTTTTTATGCCTTAATATACTAAGTCGTTTATATGACTTTTTATGCCTTACTATACTATGACGTTTTTATGACTTTTTATGCCTTACTATACTATGACTTTTCATGCCTTAATAAACTAAGTCGTTTTTATGACTTTTTATGCCTCACTATACTTTGACGTTTTTATTACATTTTCCATGATTTACTATACTATATATCTTTTTTGAAATTTTTCTGCCTAACTATACTATGAATTTTTTATTGCGGTACTATACTATTACTTTTTCTTACCTAAGTATAGTATGATGTTTTTTAATGCCTTAGTATGCTAGTAGGAATACCTTTTTTTACCATAACATACTATGACTTTTTATGCCCTATGAATAAACTACATTGAAGGTGGTCGCATTAGCTCATGGAACATCTAATGTGGACTGCACATTCAAACACAGGATCCAGAAGCCTTCTAATGATTTATTTCCACAGGTCAGGATCAGGTCATTCGTTTACATAATGAATGGTTGGATGGACAGATGGATGATTTTCTCTACATGAGATCAAACACATAAAGACAAAATAAATACAGTTACATCAACCAGTCAACAGTAAAAGGAAAATCAAATAACTGCTATAATTTTAACCAACATAAAATACAAGGTTTGGAAATTCCTAATTACTAGTCCAGCTCACTGGTTCTAGGTTGTCTTCGTTTTCCTGTTTTGCAGGGAGAGGGCGTGCATACAGATGAGTGGGATTATATAACTTCTATAACCTGGGTTTGGTCATTGGGATGATAGATAATTTACCGTCAGGTATTTGCAGGTAATGAACTTGTCTTTTATGCTTAGGGGTGGCATGTCGGTGAAGTGGTTAGAACTGTCGCCTCACAGTGAGAAGGTTCTGGGTTTGCATGTTCTTCCTGTGCCTGTGTGGGTTCTCTGGGTACTTCGGCTTCCTCCCACTGTTCAAAGACATGCACATTGGGTTAATTGGTGACTCTAATGCCTTAAATTTTATGACATTTTTATGCCTTACTATACTCAACGTTTTTTTTGCTTTCGCATAGTATGACTTATTTTTGCCAAACAATACTATGACTTTTTATGCCTTACTATACTACGACGTTTCTATGCCTTAATATTGTGTGGTGTTATTTTTACGTCTTAAAAAACACCATATGCCTGAATATACTATGACTTTTTTATTCCTTACTATACTATAATGTTTTTTGATACATATATAAATATTATTATGACATATATACATCCTCTGGATATATGAAGTTAAATTTATTGTATAAATTTGTAACATATATGAAATACTCATAGTAAAATACAACTTCATGGACTTCAAAAACAACATGCTTATTAAAATTCTATGTTTGTATATGATTTTGTTAATAATTTCTTACTTTCTCTTCATACATGTCTATTTTTTATATTTACATATATAATATGAACATATACTGACAGGCTTTGGGAAGGATATATATTTATGTAACATATGTCTATAAACGGACATACTAAAGTACATGTTTCTTTCAGGTAGACATTTTTTTTAAATGGGGAGCTGCAGCAGGTGAATATGGCTCCACCTGTGTAGTGTCATTTATGAACATCAGAGGGAGCCATACTCAAAAAAATGCATGTATTTGCATTAACAGCCCTGATCATTCATATTCCTTTGCTATTAAGATGATAGAATCATCTCACCTAAACTTGATGAATTGCACATTTACCTTACATTAAATAACTTTTTTGAAACCCAACAGGACACCAAGATGAATTATACTGTGCAGGGGACTCCTGTGTCACATGTCAAACCATTTTTTGTGACAGTACATGTTTGGGTTTGTCAGACTTGCTTTGTGTCTGCTTTATCACCGTGATTGTGGTAAAACCCAAAACCTTTACCAGCCTGCAGGACAGACAGATGTGATGACCTCACAGGAAGTGAGATCAAAGATAAGAAAAGCATTCAGTGTTGTGTCACATCCCAGACGCAGCACCGACAGTCCACTTTATCCAAATCTAGTGCACTGCATGATCTGAATGTGTGTGGACAAGCTGCTGTGAGTAATAGCGTATGTTTATGTCTGCTATGAGCCCACGTGCACACACATGCATTAGTGAGTTTTCACATTCCCAGATGGTTTTCTAAGCAGTTATTTTACCAACAAACCCGTCCTTAGCCATCACTCTGAGCCGAGGTTACAGCACACAAACAGACTAATGGTGCCTGGTGGGGATAAACACTTGCCATTAATGTAATATGCACTCACTCACTCACACACACACACACACACACTCACACACACACACACACACACACACACACACACACACAGCACACACACACACACACACACACACACACACACACACACACACACACACACACAACAAAACGCTTAATGCAGATAAATAAATAGAAAAATCCTTGTATGAGTTTTATCAACTACATTCTGGCCTGAAATAGTTGACAGAGCAGATTATGGGGTCAAGACACTATATGAGAACTCTGCAGGATTTCCCTCAGCTCCAAAACATTCAGCTGCGTGGGGATTATGAAGATGAAACTGTATAACAATGCACACTGCAGCGTAACACTGCTGAGTAAGAGCTTCATCGGTGCTTTTAGCTTCAGTCTGTGGTTCTTCTTGGCTTGTAACCTGGACTCATTACTTCTGGTTTTGGTGTAGAACAACAACACAATGCAGAGCTGCCGCAACATGTGGTTAATTCTGTAATGATATAACAAGAGTATGAGATTGTCCTGTGAGGGTTGGTTGATGATCAAACATGTTAAGTGCAGAAACCCAGGGGGAAATGTGGCTCCGTGAATATAGACGGAGCAGCACTGCTCAAAACAAAACATGAAGTTCAGACTTTACTTCTTGTGCTGACTAAGATTTTGTTGGTGTAGCTGCATTAAATCTCATTTAGTAGCACTTATCAATGTTGAAGTCTAAACACTCTTGACCTTTAACCTTGAGGACACACCACCAGGAGGAGCAAGCTGCTGATAACTTAAAGGGCAAACCAACAAAAGGTGTTTTTTCCATCGAGAGCCTTCAGCTTCAGTTCTCCATGTTTGTGGAACTACACAGTGGAGTATATGAATGCTATTCTTGGTGTGATAATGGTGATAGAGCAGAGATGTTCAGTCTGTGCAACATGGACACATAAACTTTAATTAATTGATTCAAATTATGCAGTTAGCTTCAGCTCAACCTCAACAGATACTGCAGATCTTAGTCCATGTTTCCCTGTGTGTTTGGTTTTGTGTGTGTGTGTGTGTGTGTGTGTGTGTGTGTGTGTGTGTGTGTGTGTGTGTGACAGAGAGACAGGCGAATGGAGAGGCAGGGAGGCGTGTCCCAGCTGTTACAGCCCCCTCCTGTTCTGTCCCACGCAGCAGAGCAGCCTGTCCTGTCACAAGGACGCACCTCTCCTCCTCTCCTCCTCTCCTCCTCTCCTCTTCTCTCCGGAGCAGCGCGCAGGGCTGAGATCAATCTGCCGGGAAGAGAGGGATGAGGTCCCGGCAGGCAGCCTGGGAGCACACCACTGAGAAAATAAATGGATGTAATATTTCAACGCTGATGGTTCTTCAAGGCCTATCGGGGTTATATGTTGGGACTTGTGAGTGTATCTAAAGTGGGAACTTCAGAAAGCAGCGACGGAGCGCAGTTTGTTTTTGGATCACTCTTTCCCCGATCGTTATGTTTAAATTAACAACAAACGTGGTCAGAAATCTAAAGACTAGTTTTGTCTTTTTTACTTTCTGAGTGTCCACCGGCAGACTGACTTACAGGCTTCCCTGAAATAACTTTTTTCTCTCGGAGTTGAGCCGGAGATGGATCCAGAGGAGGGGAAGATCTCGGTGTGGGTATGCCGGGAGGAGAAGCTGGTCTCCGGGCTCACAAAGCGAACCACCTGCGCCGACGTGGTCAAGGTCCTGCTGGAGGACCAGAACCTGCAGCAGGGCACCTCGGCCGCGATGCTGTCCGGCTCCCCCCAGTCCTACTGCGTGGTGGAGAAATGGAGGGGCTTCGAGAGGATTTTACCAAACAAGACTAAAATCCTCCGGCTGTGGAGCGCCTGGGGAGACGAGCAGGAGAATGTCCGCTTCGTCCTGGTCAAAAACGAGGCATCGCTGCCCAACAACGGGCCCCGCAGCGCCGAGGCCCGGGTGGTCCAGAGCCGAGAGAGCGGCGGTCCGGGTGGCGTGCTCAAGGGCACCGCCAGGACCTGCTGGACCGCAGCGGCCGCTGCCGCCAACCTGTCCCAGGAGAAGCAGAGGCGGATAGTCAGGAAGGCTTTCAGGAAGTTGGATAAGATGAACAAAAAGAAAGAGCAGACAGTTTGTAAAGATAAGTGTTCCGTGGAGAAGATGGAGACGCTGGTCCACCTGGTGATCTCCCAGGACCACACGATCCGCCAGCAGATCCAGAGGATCAAGGAGCTGGACCGGGAGATCGAGCGCTGCGAGGCGAAGGTGCACTTCGACCGCATCAAGAGACACGGGGTGAACTATGTGCAGGACACATACATGGTGGACGCCTCAGTAGAGGCTCCTGCCTCGTCGGACTGTAAGCGTAAAGCGGAACGGCAGGACGCGCGATGTACCGCGGAGGCGCTCGCGCAGTTTGAGGAGTACGCGCGTCGGTGCGAGGAGGTGATCCGGCTGCAAGAGGAGCTGACGGAGCGCGAGGCGCTCGTGGAGAGCATCACCGGGGAGATCCAGGAGGAACTCAACCGGCGGTGGATGAAGCGGCGGCGCGAGGAGAAAGGAGCGGAGGCGGCAAAGGACACAGACAGTGTCGCGGAGGAGACGTGCCTTGCTGCATCTGCCGCTCCAGATGTGGAACCAGATGTTGAGAGTCTGTCTGAGAACGAGCTCGCGCTGGAGGAGGAGAGGATCAAAACCCAGCTGGACACCAGTCTGTACATTGGCCTGCGGCTGAAGACAGACCTGGATGCCATCAGGGGGGACTTGGACCTGAGTCTGGCACTCTGGGAGACCAAGGAGAGTGAACTGCTGGACCTGTTGGCCAAAGTTGAGACCATGGAGATAGAGCAGGTGAACAACAAGGGGACTGATGATGATAAGGAGGAGCTGGGTGCAGTGAGTGTTGAGACTGAGTCTGCATCGTCAGAGAAGAGCGGCGGCTGGGTGGAGCAGGCCAGAGGTCTCTCCAAGGCCTGCAACACAAACGACGAGGACTCGGACACGGGCCTGAGCTCCATGCACAGCCAGGACTCTGACAACCCGCCTGTGTGCGAGTCGCTGGTATAGACTCACTTTGTTTGGAAGCAATTCAAAGCCACAAACTCAGGGGCAGAGAAATCAGTGTTGGCAATACTGGGAGACGGTCTTCCTACTCTAAACGCACCTCAGTATGGACACTGTAATTCTATAGCAATAATTTCTATATGTAGTCGTTGCACAATAAGCTAGGAGGGACAGCATGCTTAGAGGTTTGATAGGCCTTGCTGCTCCATAGCTGACCTTTGACCTCCATGAGGAGGTCAACAAAGTACCACTTATTAGGAGAAATAGCCTAGAAGAGTATTATAACAAGCCACTTACTATCTGTAGTCCTTAAACTAACGCTGAGGTATTGTTGATCACTGGTTTACAAAGAGTTAACAGCAGCTCGCAGTCTGATAACCTGCTGAAGCAACTGAAGGGTACAGTGTTGTTTCAAGGGCACACTGTACACAGGACTAATGACCAGAAATGGACAGATTTCCTTTAAAAGGTCAACATCAAGTCTACCTTAATGCACAGTAAATTACAGTCTGCTATCCATCTCTATGTGGATAGACAGGTCAGCTACAAACATGCTATCAAAGCTCTTTCAGTCGGACAAGGATCAGTTCTCTGTTGCCCCTTTAAAACAAGACTGACATTTATAGAAATCATAGCCACTCAAAACAACTACCAGAACTGCTTAGTATTCAGTATTTTATTGTGAATAGGAGCTGATGGACCACTTGATATTGTCCTCAGTATAAATGTAACGTCTGTCTCTCAAGCACAAAAAGTCATAATTATTTATGTTCTAAAGCCGTGCGGAGTATCATCTGCTGCACTCTGTCCTGTGCTCTGCCTGGTCTTTCACATGTTGGCTTTAAACATGAAACATTGAATTCCTATCTCAGCCTGTTAGTGGCTGGTTCTCGGTTGTTTAAAGGAATGGTTTAATAATTTGGGGGAGCTTATTCACTTTCATCTTCTCATCTGACTCTTGGCAAAACAGTGAATATTTCCCAAAATGTTAAATGAATGCTTCAGAGCAGTGGTTCCCAATGTTTTTGGCTCATTCCCCTTTAAAGCAACACAAAGTCACACCAAAAGTTTCATATGTCTATGAGCTCTCTTTTTTGGTTTTTCTTTCATAACTTGTTCTCTTGTGATTGATCTTGTGATTGCTCAGGTTTAACTTTTGACCACCTTTAGGGGTCATGACCCCCAAGGTAGGAACCACTGGTTTAAAGCAGGGCACTTGCTTAATTAAAGGGATACTCCAGCAAATTAGTATTTCACTTCCATAAAGGTGAGGGACTCGCAAGAGACAGACTTTTTTAAAAAAAGGGTCAAAATTAAAGCTGAAGTCTTTAGTCCGAGATATCCTGAATCTTAGTTCATAGAGTGGGTTAAGCTCCAAAAACACTGTATCCTACATTTCCCATAATGCAATCTGACAGCATCTTTAATCAGACTCCCCCGCTTCCTAAATGGCTTCCTCTTTCAAATCTCACACTTCCAGTTTTTTCTAACCCATGGTTTCTATTAGAAAATAAAAAAGCTTTAGATAAACATCTGATAACATGTATGATGTCATCAGGGTTACTTTTTCAAACTGTCACTATCTCTCGAGCAACATAAGACGTTATACAGCTGTTTTCACAGGCAGATAAGTGTCTCTCACATCGACTGAACTGAATTTCTAGTGTACAATTGGTGGAGTGTCCCTTTAAATCTGGGTTTTGACCATTGTTCTGGCTTTAGTGTGGCGGTTCTGATGGCGGCTTGTTTCCCTGAAAAGCATCTTATTCAACCAGCAAAGCAAAGTGGACGGATGCAAGAAGCCTCTTGTTTATATCACGGTTTAAGTTAAGAAATTATTTGTTCGATTAGTAGAGAATAAGATAAGAGAAACTAACACACCGGGAACACAAACATGAGTCTGCACAATAGATACCCACGATCTACAGTTCGAATTCTATGTTTCTTGTCTCAGCAACAAATTTATGCAAACATCCTTTGGAAAGCAAGATGAAATTTACATCGGAAGTCACATGTTTTTGGCCTCCATTGTATAATTCTCATTTCCAGTGTTGAGAAAAATGTGCTTTTTACAAATATGTCCTTTTATCCGGCTCTAAACAGTGTTGGCAGGCCTGTATCTCTGAGTCCATCTGTGGGTACAAACACCTGTAACATTGGATGTTAAGATGCTTTTGGGAGAAACGACCCCATTAAGTAATCCCACAGCCCATGCATCTCTGAACGCTGTGACATTACGAGGAACTATTTTAAGCTCCAGTTCACTTTTTACATCCTGAAAATAGTTGCTGCAAAGTCGTATTAGCCGGTCTTCGTGGTGCTCTCTTCCAGGAACTGCACAGAGAAAATAAAGCAGAAGCAAAGCAGAGGACATTATTTTCAGATAATCCTTCGACTAAATCAATCACTGTATTTTTTGTCGGGCTGTTGTGATGTCACATCTTACTATGTTTGACTTTGTCCAACCGTAAAATGGTGAAAAGTAATACCCTTGTAACACCTAGAAGAGACTGATGATATTGTTTCTGTGGATTTAGCCGTTAGCTGCAGCCATATACCAAAATGACCTGTGTGTAGCTACTTCATGTCGCTCGATCAGGGACTGTTTTGGGCTTTATTGTCCGTGACATTCAGCAAAGCTTCTCCTAGATCAGCAACTCCGAGGCTACAGCAAGAGAAATCAGATGCACCGTGGCTGCATCGTGACACCGGTCAACACGTTATTACACATGACTGTTAGTGTTGAAATAAACAACAAAACCTACCTGGCTCATAGTGTGGCTTTATTCAGCGTGACTTGCATGACATAAGAGTATTTTTATGTGTAAAGAGCGCAGTTAAGAGACAACTTCCCATTTCGGCTAAACATCTTTTCCACACACATCTTAGGGTTTCATGTATAGTTTCTGGAAGAATAAGATAGGCTGCATACCTCTAGACTGCAGAGCCTGGCAGTGAAAGGCGTGTGTGAATGTGAGTGTTTTTGTGTATGTGCATATTGCCTGTCCCGTCATACTAGTCATGCATATTTGTTTTTAATTGCTGCTTCCGAATCGCTCTGGCATGAACTCCTGCATTAATTATGACAGGATGAAACAGAGACCAGAATGTACAGAGCAACACTGTGCAGCTCAGGTTACCATTTAGTAACACATACCTTCACATTTCCATTCCAGGGAGCAATCAACGGTGGGGGGGGTGGGGGTGGGGGGTGTCTTTAAGGGTCAGTTCACCGACGTTACAAAAAACATATTTTCTCAACGTACCCTTACAGGTGCCTAACTATGCATTTAGGTTTGGTTTTATTTGTCCAGGTTGTGAGATATTCGTTTGAATTAATGGAGGTGAATGGAATCTAATTTGTGGCGTTCACAGAAAAGGTAAATGACATTTTAAATATTCAACAGCGGAAATATGTCCCAGTGACTGAGGATAATCCACAGTGGATGGTTTTCTGCGAAGCTATTTTCTAGAAACAGTGAGGTGTGTGGACTATCAAGAGTATTGGACCCTCCATTCACATCTATTATATTGGGGCTGGGGAAGTAATACATTTACAGTTACAAACTTTCAGTTGCTGGTTATTTTAAAAGCTGCATTTTCCAGCATTTTTAGACTTGATATGCAACTATTTGACAACTTTTAGGCCAAAAAAGATAATATTGTGGTTGGTGCTCAGGGTGTATTTAGCTTTGATACACAGCCCTGTAAAGGACCCAGTTTTTAACACCAGAATATTATTCCTCACATTGTGGGGGTGGGTTTGAAAAAGAATTCAAATCTTAATTTTGGGGAATATAGGTGGCAAAGCAAGGAAGCAGGGAGATAGAGGGATACATTTGAGATCTAACTGCTAGTTCCAATGAACTTTGAATGCCATCATAAATAAGAAAGCTTTAAGGGGCCTATTTATAAGTTTTGCTATTGCTACACAGCTAATGTTAGCATTAACAGCTGTTTACTTACCCGTCATAAAAATACTGAGTTCAGCATCAAACTTCATTCCTTTATTCACCAAGAGCTGTCTACAGTGATGGAGAGCAATGCTAATGTTAACTCGTGTTTTGCTTCTATTTGTATTACTTCTTTTCTTCAGCTAAAGTTAACATGCTAACCAGCTAGCTCCGACACAGTTGGACCATCCCGCCACTTTCCGATACCAAGTCACTGTAGTGTCTCATCTACCCTGAAGACATAGCACTGCTCAGAGGACGCTCGTGGCAAGATTGGTAAGTAAACAGCTGCTAATGCTAACGCTGGCTATGTAGGAATAGCAAAACTTACTAATAGCTCCTTTAAAATGCTCAGAAAAAATAAAAATTTTAATGTCTACAAGTCAATGGGCAAACTCCATCTGCTGATGAAGATCATGTGATATGATTGACAGTTTTTAAACAGCTACTTTTGGACTTTGTTTTGCAAACTTCTCTTCCCAAGCTTAAGTATGAATTTTTCAATTTCAAGTTGGGAAAAATAATTCGTAGAAAATTTACTTAATATAATGTTAAAAATCAAATGAATTAAAAACATTGGGGGTTGTACTTTGTGGGGGCTTGACTACAGCAGTGCTGACACATATATTAAAAACTTCAGCTTTCTATGGGTCTAGATACGTCTAGATGTAATTGTTTCTAGCTGTGTCATGATCAGTTTCATGATATTTCTACCCTTTAAGACATATTCTTCATCTCAAACACCAGTGCTCAACTTAAAGCTCAACCTCTCTCTAGCTGTAACATAGTTTTTTCAGCTGGTTCTCGTTTCCACATCAAGTGTCAGATCATGTCACTAACTGTCTTCATCAAGTCAAACCTACTTCAGTCATCGTCTCTGCAGAGAATTCCAGACATTTCTACAGACAAAGGTTATGATTTTGTGCCAGTTTTCCTTGTACAGTGATGATTATGCCACACCCTGTTGTTCTGTGCTTGGCATGTATAGCACTATCAGAGCCTGTGTCCACAGACTAAGCCTTGAATCTACAGCACTTACTTCCACCTGGGGAAATGATCTTCTGAGCACAGAGAAAAGGGCTCAAATGCAGCAAGTGTTTACCCAACAGACCCTGAGTGTCATGAGCATCAGTGGGGGAATTCCTGAAAAGTGTGTGTAAGTAGAAAAATGCAAACAAGAGGAAAAGTATTTTCCTGAAAAGATACAGCAAGAAGTCTACATTTGCATGTGAACAATGCTTAAAAATTGGCAGTTGAAACATTTGAAATAGCCAAAATACTGAAAGAAGACTGAGGGAAAAGCTGGAGTGGCAGTTTCTGAAGGAGGCAGTTAAAATAGAAGCACAGGAAAAAGTTTCAGTTTAAATGTGTAAGCGCTGAATTAAAGGTCCAATATTTTACACTTTTCCAAGAGGCTCTGAGCTTATCTTTTGATTGGCTGACTGTTTCTGAGTGACTGAATAAAGATAAAGCAGATTTCAAGTAAACACTAAGAGAAACTAAATCCTGCAAGGCTGGATGGTGGGTCGGTGTGACATCACAAAGTTACGGACAGTCCTGACAGCTTGTTTTAAGGCTCAGTTTCTGAATACAGGCCGTAAGCATTTATCTGTGGACTGAGTGCTTTTTCACAGTGTGAATATAGAACCTAGACCTGCTTTATAATAAAAATAGACGCGGAAATCTCACTTCAGACAACAAGGGACCTTTAAGTTGAAGTGTTAATACGAAGGGAAGCATTGAAAAAGCTGAAGTTCAGTCATTCAGTTGAAGTTCAAGTGGAAGTTGAATTGAGGTGGAAGTCAAGAATTTTTCTTTGCTCAGTTCAGTTCAAAGATTCACTCACTATGTCATTTGATCACTCTCTTCCTAAGCTAAGTGGTTGTCATCACTGTTCATATGCAACTCAGTAGGTGAGCACATTGGACATTATCAGTATATTCCTGACAAATGGTGCAAGACTTTAGGGAATAAACAAATGTTTTTCTGTTCACTACATATTCTAATATAATCTAAATATTAGCCTGTGATGTGTTTTGTATAGTTGCAGTAACATCACAGCGAATACCTGTGAATACATCCAGCAAAGCCTGATCCAAACTTTGACACTGTCATGTGCAGGTAAGACATTTTCCCCAAGGGACCGTCTCACAGCTCAGTCTGCCTGCTGATCTCCGTCTCATGTAAATGTGTCAGTCAATATGCCTGCTGTCATCCGACACCGCCCGTTTCATCTCTACACTGACTGGTTTTTAAATCAATCCAGGTTCTTGTTAACCGTTTGTTGAATTCATCAGTAGCTGCATTCACTGTAACGCCTCATGAGTCAGTCCACTTTCCGTCCATGTCAATGCTTGAATATTTGAGTGATCCACGCTGGCAGCTGACACCCACTTTCTCCCATGTATTCAGTGGCAGATTGCGGTTCAGTTACGCTGTCATGTTCATTTGATATCAATAGTCTCCTCTCCTCTCCGCTTTCTCTCTCTCTGTCTCTTATTTTCTCCTGATCAGCCTCTACGAGCAACAGGTTTTCACATGTTGACCCTCCAGTGACCCGTAATGTCAACTTAACCATTTTGTGCACATGAATTTATGTTTTAAAAGATTATGTGTGAGATGAGAAGATCACTCTCACTCTGTTTGAGTCAGGGTGAGATCAGTTTAGTTTAGCATAAAGACTGGGAGCAGGGAGAAAATTGTTCTTATAAATCTGTTTATGCCATGCATAAATATAATATATGACATATACTTCCCTATATCAAGAGTGATGTTGCCTTAAATGTCACCTATAAGGGATTATATTATTACCACATTAATACATCCTCTGGATTTGTGAAGCTATAAGTTCATAGCATATATGGAATACCCATAGAAAAATCTGTATATGTACATATATTAGAAATATCTGTATGATACATTTTCATATGGTATAGCATGTTACAACCATATATGTTAATGATATAAATTTAATTTATTTATGCAGGTTTATTAAAAAATACATATAAAATTCTTCCAGCTTACTGTATATATGTTTTTCTTATTAAATTTCTCATCTAATTATCTTATCTAATTTCTTTTCTTATTAAATTTTTAACACGTCTGTCTTCAAATTCTGGGTAAATGGTGTCAGACTTTTGGACCTGACTGTATATAATATCAACATATATTACAGACTTTGGGTTGGATAAATATTTATGTAAATTTAAGCTTACATACATACATACATGAACTAGACATATATGTCAATATATGAAATTGTTCCAATTTCTAAAAGGTTTCATGTATAAATTTTTACATATGTATTTTATATGTACATATATTTCATATATGGAATTCAATATATACATGAGATACATTGTGTAATTGGTCATCTTTACAGCGCTTACATACGCTTTAAAAGGCACAGGGAAGAAAAGTGCTGGAGGTGAGAACTGCAGGTGCTGAAAGTAGGCTGTACCCAGTAGGCTTGACATGCAGGTGGAAAAGGTTCACAGAGAACAGAGTTCATCAGCTTAGATTCAAGTCAGTTACAGTGGATACTAGTAGTGACCAGTTTTCACGGAGGGAGAAAAACTCCATGATTTATATAATCGTCTTAAACCACTACTTCAGCATAATCCACCTCTCTGCTGTAAAAAGAGGTATGCTCAGTATTTCCAAAAACAATTATCGTAACCAAAATACAGCTAAACTCAGATTCTATTTCAGTTGGCTCTCGTTTTTATTCCCAAAGTGAAAACCGGTCAATCGACGTGCGTCCAAACTGACCACAGCCGCAGAAAAAACACACGTATCTCAAACAAAACAA